TGTCAAAAATAAGAACAGCCTTCTTAAAGGCAAGCAATGTGAGACTTTTAAAATCATAACCAGAAACTTGTAGTAACAAACCCCCAGGGCTCTAAAAATGTGACATAGGGCTGCATTGGAATTCTAAAACTGCCAACTGATTTGCAGGAGATTTTAAGTACACACACACAGACACACATATATATATGAGACCAAAATTCTACATAGTTTTAAAAAGTAATCTATGCCACACAGCAAGCACTTGAAGCTGTGAGAATGTGATGTCCCACCCTTAAGGAGAAGGGAGAACCCAATATTCGTAGACGCTCATGGTTGAAAGGAATGGCAAAAGTCAGAGGACCTGCAAAAGCTTATAGAGTTTTATTAATAATTCACACACTTGACAAGGACATTGTTATTCTAGTCCCTGACCTCCCAGCATAAGCACACAGCAGTGGGTTTTGCATAAGGGGTAGGGTGAAAGGGAAGAGAGAGAGATATGAATTAAAGTGTGTGAGACAGAAAGGAAGAAAGAAAATTAGAGAGATCACCTGTTCTAGCCCCAGCATTGATCTAGCTGGAGTATCCAGGGTCCTGGGGTGCACACATGCTCAGGCTTTGTGGGGATACCTTTTTATAGATAACTTTACCCTGTTCTGGAAGTAAGCTTCTCACTTTCTATGCAAATTAGTTATCATGCACAGTTCTTTCCTCTAGATCTTTCTGGAAATAGGTTGGAGGCCTGAAGGGTCTTCGATGGTCTTAACCTACAGTGCATGTCCACTTCTCAACCTCATTGCTGCACTTGCCCTGTACTGTGTTGTGCTTATTCTGTTGCACCAGAACAAGGACATCTGTCCCAGAAAAGTGCTGCTCTACCTCCATATGGACCCCTTCTCCACCCACACCCTGGTCTTTCTCACAGTGTGTTATTACCAACAACTCCTGGCTGGCTCCATGGCTATCCAGATATCAGTTTTTGAAACATACACATTTTAGTCCATTATCTTTTAAGTTTTTACATAAAACCCACTCTCAAATTTGGCTACTGATTCTTCTCTGATGATGTGTAGCAATGTTACAGTCACATGAATGGAAAGTGCTTTGTGAGCCTGGACTCTGCAAGAACTCATAAATATGTGAACCTCATGTTGCTACATTCATATCAGGCTCTACCCAATGAAAAATGTTACTATGTCCTGAGGCACCCTTATTTCAAACAGTGGCATCCTGTGCACCTAAATGATCCTCCTGATAAAATTAAAAGCCCAAATCCTTGTACAGAATAAAAGATTTCCAAAGAAGCTCATGTGCTGTGCTCTGATGTTCTGAAACCTATTTTTGAAAAAGTTTACTGCAGAATACTGAAGTCTTTATGGCTTCTTCTCCTTTTTGAAAGGTGAAAAACTGAAAAGTTGGTCATAGTGTAGCTACAACTATGCAGAGACTAGATTATCTTCTGCTCTTTTGACTTCCTATATGTTGCATTTAATGCACAACTTGTAGAATCAAATAAACATAAATTATCACAGGAACACACACACCAAAAGCTATCCATAACATTTCATTTCATTGTATCTCTTACTAAGTGTTTCATGGAACATATTTAACACCTTAAAATGTAATACTATAAGCATGACTACATATTTCACAGAAATACAGAAAACATACCACTAAAATGAAAGAAGGCCAATTTGATAAATGCAGTACTATTAGCATAAACTATTAGTTAGCTCAGCACTTATAACAGTAATGAAACTGGCCCTTTGCAATTTAACTGTGCAACATCAATTACAGCTGAAGAAATTATAGTTCATTAATTTATTTTCTAAAGAAAAAAATGAAATTACTGCTGTCTCCACCTACGAGCCCATTCTGAGATCAATGGTATGAGAAATGGGCAGTTTTCCATCTCTGCACTCTCATCCTCTGCCTCAAGACACCAACTTTTAAATTTGATTGACATGTCAGGGACACAGACACACCTCTACTTGGACTGCAGCAGCTTTAGAGAGGAAAAAGGAGGTAGGGGGAAAGCAACTGTGTCTCAGAAGCACTCAGATACAACGGAAGTCCATTTGCCAGGCAATATAGGACCGAAGTTTTGAAGATGTAGATGTGTGTAAAAGACCTACACAGACATCGCCCCAGCAAAATTTCTCAATGGCACCAACATGAAATAGAAGACAAGACAGATCAGAATTCAAAGTTAGTTATTCTGGCTATTATCTGGTAGCAAATTGCAGCAACCACACTCAGAGATTATTGTGATCTGCTAATTGCACAAATGGATTCATTACCAACTGTCTCTTCCCCCTATTTGTCAGCTTACATTCCTGTTTTCCTCTCTGAAGTCCTCAACCAATCCTGCCAGATCTGCTCCCCTTACCTTCACACACTGTGTAAGCACAAGACACACTTCAAGTTTCTGCATAAAGGAACCCAAAGCAGGCACCTCAATTATTTGTAAAATTCCATCACTAACTAAATCCAACATCACATTCACTTCTGCACCTCACTGAAATGGCTGCGGTGTCATGCAGAGCTTCAAAATACATTAACATTTGGCAGCAGAAAACACGAGTTGCCTTCATGTGCTCAACGTGGCACATTGAAAAAAGTCAGTATTTCTTGAAAATATTACTAAAATGCTCAGCTGTCTGAGCAAGTTTCATACTTGCACCCTTCTACATTACCCAGTTTTGCAGTAATAATTGAGATAAATAATTCTAGTATCAGAAGCTTTATCTTTCCAATTTTCATATCAGAAAAAGTCTGAAAGGAAATTAATAACCTTGCCCTTGTCTGGACTGGTCTGATTTTTTTTTTTCCCCCAGTAACATGTTTATGATCTTTATAAGGATACTGCTTTTCTGGAGAGCCATATTGCAACAACACATAAAACAGCTAAGACTGAAGAAGATGTTTTGAGAAGACCTCTTTCTCCACATTAAATGTGGACTAACCTAAGATGCTTTCACTTTTTATCACTGTCCTTATTTCAGCAATAAATGTGCTAAAGTTCACACAAGCCCCCCCAATCCGATTAAAAATGAGCCAGCTTAAAACACAGTGAGACAATTAGCCACAGGAACCGCTACAGGAAGAATGTATCAGTAATATCTTAAACCACCTCAGCTATTTTAAAATTGGACGTGTGCATCATGCTGCCAGACCACATTTCAGAGCAGGTACCTAGGTCATTTTGGTTCAAGTGAGTTGCCCAAACTATATCAGTATAGTTAATATAGTACAAAGTGGCAGAGATAAGAAAACATTTCAGGCCAAAACCAAGCAGTTTGGTGGTTTAAACAGAGACTGTGAAAAATAGAACTGTGTTTGAAAATCTAGAATTAAAAGCAACCATAACAAATTCATTTTGTTTTTAAAAAATAAAATGCTCAAACAGATTATTCAAAGAAGAAAACAAATCTCTGATTTCTGTCTCATGTTCATCTTTTGTCATCTAGTGACTGAGGACAGAATACCTACTAATATTCCACTAGTATCTACTTACAGTCCTCAAAAAAACCCTGGAATTTTGTCCACCAGTGTAAAAATTCTCAAATTCAAGAGCAATAACAGCACAGAGTATGTTTCTCTGTCTTGTTGCTGTTATTAATTAAGTCCCATTTGCTGCTCCTGAATGGCTGTTATTTAGTTGCACTGGATGGGTGTGTAGAAAGTAATGGAAGATGGATCAACAGCTGTAGTTATTATGAAAATTATGGCATTGCATGAGAGGAATTGCAGCTGCTCAATTCATGCAAATAAGAGCTACTTGATAATGCCTATAATTACACAGCACGTCAAAACAGCATAGCTGGAGCATAAGTAGAGACTACATATTTTAGAAAGCCAAAAGATTTCCATTTCATTATATTCCCATTCCCTAAACGCCTATTTAGAGATAACAAGAAACACTTTCTGTCGACAGGCTCACAGATACAGAAAGGTCTGCTGAGTCTCCCAGGTGCATTCTCCTGCCAGCACTTCAGCTGTCAAACACAGAGCCTCTCTGCTATTTGTAACACAGCCTGGACTCACATCACAGCTGGGGCTCCAGCTCACTGTGTGCTGAGCAGACATGAAGAAAGATCCAGCCACATCTACTTTCAAAGCAAAGGAAGATTGCTTCCAAGCGGCTCAGACAATGCAGATATCATCTCCTCTATCCAAAGCCTGGTCCTGACACCTGGAACAGCACTCTAATATTGTAGGTTACTTTACTTTTGAGTGTATCTTCTTTCAGCTTGTTCAAGGCAACTCCTTTCCCATCTCAGGCACTAAGGCCCTCTTCAAGAGCACATTTCCTTTTCTTAGATGAAAACCTTACTAAAAGCTCCTTATTTTCAGAGATGCTGCCCACTGTGCTTATCCTGCTACATCTGTAGGCTGTTTACACATTAGCAACAGTTTATATGAAGTGACATTTTATTACTTTAGTGTCTTCCCATTCCTTTTCTGCCTATTTAATTAAAGCCCTCTTTTTCTGCCAGTTGTTTGTGCTAGCAAATCCCTGCACCTGCATGTAAAAAAACCCAGGGATGAAACCTCATTTGTTTTCCTCTGCACCTCAAATTCTTGTTTCAACAGCTGTGCAGCACAATATTATGTTACAAATAATAAACCCAGAACAAGAAATACAAGAGGAGTGAAGAGATTTATTTTTTTATTTTTACTTATGACATTCACAAAAAGAGACACAGGGAGATACACAATTTTTCAACCCTCCTACCTCTCACTCAGGTGTGAGTTGAACCCACTTGGTGTGTCCAACCAAGTCAGTTGCTAAAATTCCTTACTGCTCTTATTTTACACAGTGATCCAAACCACATAACTTTGCAGATACCACAACCTTTCTTTTCCTGTGACATCTGATGACAAAATCTCATTGCAAATGCCTTGGAACCCAGGAACAGGACTCCTGGTAGAAGCGGTACCTCAAGCTTCTCACATTTCAGTTGGACCACCATTAAATCACTGACCCAACATAACAGCTACACACTTGTTAGCATTACCTGAAATCACATGCTGTGGTGAGTTCTGCTCCTCCTCCAAAAGCTTTTCCTTGAACTAGTGCAACACTGATCAAAGGCAACCTGCACAAGAGACCTTAGTAAGCAAAATTCATGCTTTTAGCCTTTCAGAAATTACAAAACAATTCAACCAAACCATTTATACAGTAAAAGTTGAGAAAAATATACTGTTCCAATTTAATAAAATAACTACATCTTTGTGGGTAGTCAGCGCAACACCAATTGCACTTATGTCAAAATTACTATTGCATAATTGATACAGAATATCAGAATGAAACAGCAACACAGATATTTTAAATGGAATCAAAATAAAGATCATGTACTGAAAAAACACGTTATGAAAAATACCTGCTATAGAATATATCTAAAAAGACTACCTGCAAGGAGTGACAGGATAGCAACACAAGATTCTACTCTAAGCCACTGCACCACAGAAAGCAGCAGAGACACAAAGAACTGAAGGGCTGGGTTATCTAAAATTAATGAGATTTACCATAACAGCTTCAGCAGCTTCTTCAAACAGAGTGCTACTATCTCAGTCATCAACAAAACTTTTTTTGCAGACAAAACCTTTTGAGGAAAGCAGCAATCTGTTACCTTTGTTGGTGTTGTATTTAATCATGTTCAAGGTATTTAATCATGTTCAAGGTAATTCAAAGGACAGAGGGAAGGAAAAGTATGTCTCCCCACTGCTGATGTGAAATGAATTAATGAGCAGTGACTTAGGATAAGGCAAGTTCCTTAAGAAATGAAGGCAGCTGGTTAGTCACAGAATTTGCACACTAGTACAGCTGTTTCATCTTTTACTATGAAGAGACATTTAGCTTTTTGAGCAGTTTGCAAACCACATTCAGAAGTCAGCATCTTAATCATAACCACATGTCTGGTTTTAGTTCTCCTTTAACAGAAGCACCAACACTTTCTTACATCCCAAGTTCACTTACAAGCTGCAGCACAGTTCATACAATACATGGCGCAAGAGAACCTATTGGAAGAAGGCAATCCCATTTTTCCTGTGCTTTATGAGAAAGCAGAACATGTGGGTCCAAGATGGCTACATCCACACTCTAATCCATTTGAGGCACCTCTCTCAGGATCACAGTCAGTCTCAGCTCTGAGGAAGACTAATCCCATCTACAAGATGTCCCCAGACAGCAGCTCAGTGCTCCCCCTGAACCATGGCTTAGATACACTAAGTCTACACACCTGAGGTGGGGACTTAATCTTCACACATCTTCCTCCTCTTAGCTTTGCCCCATCAATTTCGATTATATGGAGACAAGCTTATGCAAATGGCTTCCAATCCTGAGGATTTCTTACAGTACTACTAATGTGGGTTTCCAATCTCCTGGGTAATTTTACAGAAAAAATGTTAATTCATAACATTTTCTCATACAGATTATTTGAAAACAAAGAATATTTGAAAACAAAGAATATTCATCTTCAAAGAGCTCTAAGCAGAAAAACACAGTCTCTACCACAAATGGATTTAATAGAAACGTGACTTCTTGAGGGAAGCCAAGTCTAAAGGAAAGGGTGTCTTTTTCAGAATTACCAGATGGTAGAACTGACACACTCCTCTTCTAAAGTGGGAAGATTAAATAAATATGTCAAATAACTGTTACCTGTGTAGGCTGCATAACCTGTTGGTGCTTGTTATTTAAGAGCTACCAATTTCCAGTGAGTTAGAGAGGTTGAGTTTCAGAAAATCCGAAGGACTAGATTTCCTTAATTCTGGGCATCTCCTAACTCTACACATATAAGCCTAGGGGTTTGTTTTTTTTTTTTTTTTTCCCTTTTCCAATCTCTGGAAAGTGTAATAGTTGCAAAATGTTAAGGTCTAATTTAAATCCATAAATACCTACCTGATTAACATGTGTGAATACAAGGTCTGGGATTCAAAATTACATACATAAAACTACATATTTATCTTTAAAAATCTTGTTAAAGAGTTAGCCAAAATACATTCTGATACTTGTAATTACTTCATAAATGGGTAAATAAAATATATTACCTCATAAGTCTGGTTAAGGTGTTTTGCATAAACATGCACATATTCATCCCATCCTACAATGAATAGGAAATTAAAAAACGTTACGTGATCTTAATGTGAAGCAATTAAACACATAGACAAAGTAAACAGGAGTAAGCATTCTTTATATTTACTTCAGCTGGGTTTTGTTTCTGGTTCATGTTGGCCAAATTCTAGTCCAAATGCACAAATAGAAAACCTAGTATAAATCAGGCTAAAATAAAGTCAGAACTCAACTGACTTATATAAATTTCAGTTAAAATTAAGCCACTGTTCAAGTAATTGCAATACTGAATTTCTATGCTGTTAAATTTTAGTGTTTCCTCTTAATTTCCTCTTCTCACTTCAAGTTGAACACACATAAATCTCAGTTTTTAAATTCTGTACAAAGCCACAGCGTGCTACATACCTCTAACGTCCCAAATCCATCAAGTTTTAGACAAGATAAAATTTACCAATTTAATCTTTTATTGTTTGGGCCAAAAGCATTACAGATAAAAAAGAAAACTAAAACCACCAAACCACAAAACACTGAAACAAATAAACAACCAAACCAGAAAGAAGATTCTTCTTATGTCTCTCATCCTTTGTGCTTTCCATCTCCTTGCAATCAACAGTGAAAAAGATACAAGCACTTACTTTTAATCTAGTACAAGAACTAAAGGGCTCCCAATAAAATATGTTCAAAACAAATATTTCTTCCTCTAATGCATAATTAAAATGTGGAACACTTGGCAGCAGGGCTTTACACCCTCTACACGAATTCAAGAACATCTACATAAACTCACAACAGGAACAGCAACAATAGGTTATTACATAGAAGGCAACATCTATAGCTCTAGAAGTTTTAGTCACAAGTTGCTGGGAGCTAAGAAAATATTTTGAGACAAAATCATTATCTATCTGCCTACCCTGTTGTTATCCTCTTTCTCAGACATCTACAATTAATCAGGAACTTGACAAATAACTGGGCTAAATGATCCAGAACCACCATGTTCATATACATACTGAATTGAATGACATGTATTATTTATCCCAGATAAAAGAAAAAAATTATGCTTGGACACTGCTGAAATAAAAAAATAGTAGGTAAAAATTTCAGCACATCTTTCAAATAATAAAGGAAAAAAATTCAAACAAACAAAACCAAACACCTCTGAATCAGAATTTACTAATTTCTAAAACACAGTTTTACAAAAGCTGCAAATTAGAGAATATGCCTGAATTAAAAGCCTCTGACTCATACCTCAGGGAAAGAAAATATATGAAGTAAGTCTTCAGTACATCTTTGGAATAGAACCTTGAAATAACAGTAGGCCAATTGCAGGTGATTTATTGTCCATTTAGTCGTGTATTCCCAAGAGTTACTCTGCCCAAAGCCAACCAGCATTATGATGTTTAGGCACAGATCTCCGGCAGATGTAAGTGCCACGACAATTGCTATACATGAACCAGTGTATATAGTTTTACTACACTAAAGGGCTCCTCGAAAATTTTAGCAGCTGTTGATTTATAAAAAGGCTTTTAATTATCACTGTAGCCATCTCCTACACCCCCTAAGAACAGTAGCAATATTTCCATTCCAAATTAAAGAACATTCAAACACTTTGTGATAGCTGCCTTACTAGTGAAGTTCAAAGCCCACACAAACATACAGGGTACCAGTTCTCAGACACAGACTTGCACAATTCCCATATTACAACTGTAAGGATGAAGCTGTACAAAAGCTCTTCAGAGAACACAGTTTTTCACTTCATCCCAGCAGAATCCTTGCATTCAAACTGCCGTTCTCAACTCATGACAAAATCCAAAATGGTAATTAAATATTAATTCCAGAACAGACAAACTTGAAAAATGCATTTATGTCTGAGCAGACAAAAATAAAGTCTTCATTCTCTCAGGTGGTACAGAGATTACTTTGTATCCCATGGAAAAAATGCTTCCACAGAACACACGCGTTAAAAAAAACCCAAAAACCCAAGAAAAAAAAACCAAACAATTGCTTGAGTGCTGGCAAATAAACCCTTCAAACCTCCCTGACAAGAAAAATAAGGCTACTATTCAGATAAAATTCTCTGACTAAGGGGTGTTCGCTGCAGTCTAGTAGAATAATTATATTTGCAGCTCTAATACTGTCCTTGAAATAAGAAGATATCTAACTAGCAGAAAGGGAGGTAAAATGCAGTAAAACGCATTTACTACATATGGAAGAAAAGGATTAATAACTTGGTGTGGGCCTAAGAGAGGTAGGGAAGAAGAAAGTCACCTTCATAAAGTAGAAAACTGTAATGCTGGCTCTTGTTGCTGCAAGAGCTTTGAATCCATTTGCACTACAGATAGAACATAATTTACATATTATCTCCAACTGCTCCAAAGTCCTCCCTCCACAACTTATGTTTGGGAACCTCTGTCCTAGGGTTTCTAGACAGGGACCAAGGAAAGCAAAATTCTCCTTTGTCCTTCTTCCTCTGAGCTGTTGCTTTAAGAGCCGTTCTTGCTTTTCAGCTAGGCAACTTTTCAAGTCTCATTCCAGAATGAGGTTCTTGCTCTGGGAACAGCTTACAAAGCCTTATAAAGACAAGGAAAATATTTTTTATTTAAATTCCACTATTCATTTATCTTCTGCGATTTGGTTATGTAACGTTAGCAGTCAGAAAAGAAAACTAGGCAGGGGATCTAGGTTTGCTTCAGAGTTAGGAACAATTGAACACGGGAGAAGGTGGACAAAGAAAGAGGAAAAGAATGAAGTGGAAGAGGAGGACAAAGAGCCACTAGGGGGCACGAAAATCCTTCAGCATTCTTGGCCATTATTCTGCCGATTCTGCACCACAGGGAAAAGCAAACTGTACCAAAAATTATGAAAAATATAGTCCTCCCTCAACCAACCACTAGGATAAAATAAAAGTGTTTCCTGCAATTACTAAAAGCTATGGGCTAAAGAAGCCTTGAAAAAAATATATAAACGACAGCTGAGTTGCTTGAGCATGGTACTAATAACAACAGGTTGTGGGTTCAATCCCTTCACTTAAAAGTTGGACTCCATCATCCCTGTGGGTCCCTTCCAATTCAGAATACTCTGTGACACTCTGAAAGACCAGTACAGGCATGAAGCTATTCACCATTTTTTTTTTTTTTTTTTTTTACCTTGAAGATGCCTATGGACAGAGAACTGAACCTGAAACCAGATGAAATACTCTCACCTGCATCAAGTTAGAGAGAAGAGCTCTGTAAGACTGAAGAACAGCAAATGCTATTTCATATTCTAGTGAAGACTATTAAATCCCACCAAACACATGCTTTAGGAGCTATTATACAGAAACTCTCAGTAAAAGATAAGTTACTTGAAATCTCCAAAGGAAATAGAAAAGCAACTATGTTTAACTATTCTTGGAGCATTTCTGGTGACTCTTAGGCTTTAATTTCAGTTGAGATATCTAGATTATGTGCAGAGAATTCTCAACAAATTTATAGCATGTATACATTTTATTCTGTCCAGTATATCTGTTATCAAACCTAGTCCTTGCAAGAGCCCTCTCTGCCACTGAAGTGGCTCCAAGTAATTTGTATAAGCATACAGAGAGAATACAAAATGTATGGAAGCAGTATCACTGAGATTTACTGAACGCAGAACTCCGAAGGAAAGCCTACACTGCAAATAAGAAAAGAATTGACCTTGCTTGACTTCAGCTCCTTTTCTGTTGGTATAATGCTCAAAGAAGTTAAGAATTGCAGATCAAAATTTAAAAAAAAAATAAATTTAGAAAAAAAAGTCATCTATATTTTTTAAATTACAAGTTCTTATAAAACAGCCAGATGAAAACCTCCCCCAAATCCATTTATACTATAAAGCATGACATTTCTGTATTAAGAAAAGCATCTCTCTTGTAATGTTCCCATAAGAAAACAAAGTGTCCTATACCCTTTGAAAACTGGACTGTCCTTTTTACTTTACAAGGCCAGAAATAAAATCTAAGACATTGCAGGGTTTATGATATTTCGTTTTATCAACAGAAAAAAAAATCATCACTAAAGACAAATATCAGGTTAATGAGTTTTGTGTTGACATTCATACGGGAAGGGCCAATTAAATGTTTCATTTACATGGTTAAATCCTGAAACTTGAGGTGGCCACAAAGAAGCATGAGGATTGGTACTTACCACAACTGTAAATCATTTCTAAGAGCAGCACAGCAAGACCCTCTTCCCTGGCAGCTGGCAAAGGCCTATTTCACACATTGCCAAATCCACATATTAATCCACAGAAAACTGTAGCACATGTGAAAGTTGTCCAATGGGTGGCATGAGCAAAAAATTGCCATCAAACCCCAACCTCTTCAACTTCATAGATACACACAAGACTCACATGACTCAAGTAGAGCATAAGAATTGCATCTGTTCCTCCATTTCATGCAGGTCCAAGCACAGTTTTAATAAAATAGAAACCTTTCTGTAATAGCAGCCATTCTACTTAATTTGCTTTTTTTTTTATTTTAGAATATGAGAAATTATTACTTTTATCTATTTCTAAAGGTCAAACTACAGAAGCACATTTTATCTGACGTGCAAATTCACCATATACTGCTGTGAGAAACTGAAATGATACTTTTAAAAGAAAAGGCTAAAAAGAACATCTAGCGTAGGAATTTAGAGTTATGAATCACTTACAATAACACTTAAATCACAGCTTGAAGGGGCTGACAGGGTATTTTTTTTTTACCATTAAAGCTCCATTCTATGACCTGTATGTAAAATTGCAGAAGTACAGTGCAACACTTCTGTCTAAAAAGAATCTCAAAAATATTAATTTTCCTCCAAAACATTAACATGTATTAATACTTGCCTGGGAATTGGATATTTCTTTGACAACATTCAAATCAGACCCCGAGCAAAAAGTGTTTCCTGCACCATGGATTATAAGACCTTTGCCATCCTTCCAGTTTTCCAGTTCAGTTACCCTCTCCTGGAGTTCTACCATCATAGTGCCTGTCACAAGAGGCAAGGAACAAAATTTTTAATAGGAAATTATTATCCCCATCATATTTTTTGTTACATTTTCCACCAGCAAAGCCAAGCTACAGTTAATAAGAGATGGGCTTAAAATCACAACAGAAACTATCATCTTAAATCCTGCACACAATCACTGACATACATTTGTTCTCCAAGGATGCACTTCCCGAAATTCCAAAGGATATTCTGTATGATGGATATTTGAATTACACTCAAGAAAGCCCCAAAACAAAACCAAACAAAACCAACAAACAAAAACCCTCTGCCTGATTTATTTCTGCTTGCAGTTGCATACATTCAGGACAGATTAATTTATATGTATCCATCAAGATCTGTCCAACTAGTCATTTTAAAGTTACTAACATTCCTTCCTGCCCAAACAATTGGCAGAGAACAGAAAAGAATCATGTCCAGAGTGGGCTCAAGGCACAACCAGTCAATGTTAACAAAGGTTCCTTTCTAAAAAGACTCTCTTTATAAAGCATATCATCATACAGTACCAGCTTTTTATTTCTTGTTTAAACATACAATTCATTATAAAATATCATAAACATCATATTTGCTTAAGTACCCCTCCTGACATGGAACTCTACAAACTCCTGTTTCTGGAGCTCATCCTAGACAGCAGCACCTTCAACAGCAATGAAATGTACCTGCATTAATTTAAAGCTCTTCCTCTCTGAATGCCTATGACTGTCCAGTTACACACTTAAGAGAAAACATTTACAGAAAATAATTTCAGAAAGCAGAGTATATACAGGCTGATGACACTCTCAGCTTTACCCTTCTTTGATAAGAATTTAGATGGACATGCCTACATTCTTCAGATAGAAATGTACTTTCGATTAATACTCTCCTCTGCCAACAGTGTTGCTTTTTTAACTCTATGCCTGCATGCACAGGACTCATCCTCTTCTGAAATGTCCCATTAGCAGCTAGTCCATGGGATATTTATGTTTTCTTTCTTATGTTTTTTTTTCTTACAGTTCATTATGAAATAAGCTTCCCAGTCCCACATCAAGAGTGAACACTCAGTCAAGTATTTATCCCCTAGGCTTGGTCTCAGCTACTGAAATAAAAGAGTTTGACAATGTTTCTGAGGTAGCCAATAATTAAGTGGACATTACATATTATATACCAGAATAGCATTGAGTTGGGTGGTTTTTTTTTACCCATTGTCAAGTCCATACTATGATCCTCTAAAAAATCCCAGCAGTTCTGCCAGTTGCTTTCCTTTCTGTATTTATAATTTGGTCATCCTTTTTGTATGTGGCACATTACATTTGTTTTCACTGAATTTCACCCTGTTGATCTTCAGCTCTTTGTAGCAACCAATCAAGATCACTGAATGCTTCTCCTCTACTCCAAAAAATAATCTTGCAAGCTCTCCTAATATGGGGTTATCTGACCATTTCAGCAGCTCACCTTCTGTTTCATCATCCAAGCCAAGAATGAAAACACTGAGCAGAACCAGGCCTAGATGAGATTTTTGTGGGTCTTCACTTGAAATGTTTTTCCAGCATGATGGCACGCCCAACAACTTTTCTGCAAATGCTGCTTTTCAAACAGGTATGCTTTAACCCTGTGGATTTCTCTCATTGCATATTTTCTTTCTTAAATGTTCTTAACAGAAGGGTATTTGGGCTGGCATCCAAGCTTTGCTAGAGTCAAATACAGCAGAACTACTGTTTGTGGTTCTTTTAATAGGCAAAGCAGTGAGGTATTGAAGAGTCTTTCCACAGAGTATTCCAAGAAAAAAAAATCGAGTTAACTGAAAAAATGCAGGATCCATATGAGCCGGATACATGCAATAGCAGGGGACAAGAGACACCGGCCAGAGCCTGTTCTACCTTCCTGTGAGAGGCTCTTTTCCATTCCTGACAACACTGAACTACTATTTTACCAACAGATATGGCTCCTGATGTTTGATGTAATGAAGAAGGCACACCACTGAAGCAAATCTTCCTTCTGCCAATCTTAGTCTTTCAGTATTTGATACCACCAAGTTCATGCTCTTTACAGAATTAATAATAAATAATTTGTTTGCATTTTAACTATAATCTGAGAATAAACGTTTTCAAATAAACTCTAGAAAATAACAACTATCATCATTATTTTCTAATTCCTACAGGCTAGCTTTCTTCTCTTTTAAACTACATTCAAGTTTAGTTCAGTGACAGGTTGGGTTGCTGAAACTGGCTCCACCAGGCTTAAACTGACATTATTAGCATTTATTTCCAGAGAGACCATTTCAAACAGGAGGCTATCAGATTCCAATTAAGAAGAGAAAAAAGGCATTACAATCTCCATATCACCCATTAGCAATTTGCCAACAATTTTGTTCTATTTTTGATTTCAGAAGTTGCTCAAGCTTAGAATAAACATGATTCCTTTGAGATAAAAAACTGCTGTGTAAATTAAATGCCTGGAAAATATAATTTCCCTCAACAGTTTAATAATGTTTTGCAGCTTTTTAGAGGGAGCATGCATGGATATATAAATTCACATCTGCCACTATTCAGAAGCTCTGAGACACAGAATCAACAGAATTTGTTGGGGAGGTAACTGTATCTACAGGCTTTAGCTGATGAAGTCAACCAGGTTCTGCTGAGGCAATTCAGGGGTAGCACACCCCATGCTGCCCCTTGAAGAGCATTATTTAATACACAACTGAAGGCAAAGGATTAAGCTCCTGGTAATCTCTCAGCAACTGCATTTTACAAATAATAATGTTAAAAATGAAATTAAGATCAGTATAAATTAAGATGTCCTACCATTTGCTGCAGCAGAGAAGGGACCAGCCTGATTTTGCTTCTACTCTCCCCCCCATGAAAACAAAAGTCTCTAGCAGAGGTGTACAGCACAAAGAAGCAGCATCTCTTGAACTGACAGTAACATTTCCCAGAGCAATTTTTTGTAGCTATTGCCTAGCAAAATCGAATATAGTTCTCTACAGAGCTCTACACACTGCTTTAAAACAGAACTGCCTGATCCCATGGCTCATTTGTTACATGCTAATGAGGATCTACAACAAAGACAGAGCTATTAATTTCCTCAGTGGTTTTTGTAGCTCCTCTTTGCTACTAGAGCATCTAATTGGCATACACTAATAAGTTATTTTCACAGCAGTCCTGTAAGGAGAGAAGAGAATATTTTACAGACAACTAACTGAGTCAGAGAGAAAATGTCTGCTAATTTTGGGTGCACAGCTCCAGATGTACAATACGATTTTAGCCCATTAACATTACACAGAACATTGTATAGGCAACGAACAGCTATGAGTTGCCTAAATGGCAGCTGAACCTGCTCAACACGGCTACCAATCACTTCTAAGCCCCTCCTGCCATGCACATAGAAAACAGAGAACATATTTCCCAGTTTATATGAAAGTTTGGTTTAAGCAATTTGATTTTTATTACTCCTGATCTTCAAAGAGCAGAAAAACCCAGTCTGCTCTCTCCTTTTGCTGTTACAGCTCATTTCGCGTACCCCTTTCAACTTCCACAACAAATAAGCTAAAAGCACACTGTCTACAGGGTGTACATTGCACAGTTTTGTTTTGAGTCAAGAATAGAAACCAATCTGCAGAAAAAGGAGAAACAACCATGTAATTATGATTGTATAACAGAATGTATGCTAACAGGGAGGCATGCAGAAGGACAATCCCTATGCTAACATCTTTTAGCTACAACTTCTTAAATTAGGTAATGATTTTATACATAAGTTTTTTTAAGCAACACAAAAGAGAATGCAGAAACATCTGGGTGCATTAACAGCAATTCTGCTGCTCTCTTAGCTTCCTTTCAGCTAACAGTAGAAAGACTAGATTGATATTCTGCATGTAAAGGGCACACTTCGCTAGCATGTTGCAAAATGTTTACTCACAGCAAAGGAACAGTGAGAACTGGGCAGGAAGAGAGAACAGCAACAAAGAAATTAGCAAGATGACACAAATGCATCCACATCAAAATATTAACAGATAAAATCATTCTTATAGTAAAGGCTTATGCACAGCTCCAGCTCAAGCAATTCACACCCTGGACCTGTGCCACTCATATATGAAGAGAGTGGCATAAATTGGAATAATCGAAATAATTAAGAAGAGACAGCAAATATACTCAACTTGGAGAACAAAACCCTGTCATAATACAAGATTAATAAAATAGGGCACTTGGTTTTGATAGCTAAGTATTCTCCAGTGTAAAAGCGTATTAAATAGATCACTGACCTGCAACAGCTGAGAATACCCAGCTCATCTGATCTTTAATTAATCAGTCACTGATATTTAAGACATAAGGCAAATGAAGAACAAATGGAAGACAGTTTGAGTAAATGGAAAAGACCAAACTACAGAAGTTTAATGCACAGGGAAGGCTTTAGGTAAAGAACCAAGCAACAAACTCACTCTTTCTTTCTATATCACCTGCAAAAGGGAGGTGGCATCATCTCATGCCCACAAAAATGCCTTCCATATTTCCAGAGCAGTGATGACAAAATGAGAGGAGATGCAAGAAAGAGCTCAGTGGCAAAATTGTGCTAACACTTAAACAACATGGGGAGAAGCACCTTCTGCAAGACAGTCCTTGTGTCACTGAGAATTTCTTAAGAGTCTTATGACATTTATAGCAAAGTTACTATACAAAACACTGGACATATTTGCTGCACATCAGAATAAACACATTTACTCTTTTAACTAAGGTGTGGCAAAGCAGAGTGTTGCACTTTCTTTAGGCAAAATGTCACAATAGGTAACTGAACAAGAGAAAGACCAAAACCAACCAGCAATCCCACCAACTAATTAATACCTGTAAAAGCATTCATTAACTTTGGATTATTCAAAGTAAGTATTGCAATGCCATTGTCTTCTTTGGAAAGGTTGATGGATCCACCAGAAAACTGCTGAAGTTTCTTCTTTATCAGTTCTTCCTCATAGCCATGAGCACCATTATACAGTGACAACCTTCTTTGTTGTAGTACCCTTTTAAATGTAATCTGAAGAAAGTTCTTCCACAAAGCAAGGGCCATTTCTGGAAATACATGGAGTGAGGGGAAAAAAAATTAGGAAACTTCCTTTGAAATCCACTTCAGTCCTCTGAGAAAGACGGAAGTATGACAGCAGAAACTAATATAAAGGTAATGCAATCATAACAGTTGACAGAAATCAGTGCAAATTATATTAGCAAAATTCTTCATTTGAAGCTAACAGAATGACTTTTATAGAGTGATTTTAGTAGTTAAGCCAGGTATTAGCACCTTTCAAAACATTTCCTTGTAAAATTTATCAAAAAAGTTATTGTGTGCAGAAAACAAAAGAGGCTCAAAAATTACAGAAAATCTACATATTCTACTAGACCAATGTCCTTTGTATTACTCTTACAAACCCTCTCTCACCCTTCCTTGTAAAAAAATACCAAGACCCCCAAACACACCTATAACAGAGGAAAAATCCTATCAAATCCCACAGCTTTCAAGGTCTGGATGTCCTGCTTTTCTGTAAGCAACTATTAGAGCAAGACCTTCCCCACAGAAATAATTGAGGAACTTAAAAATTAAGAACTGAAGATCATTCTTATATCGAAGTCTGTTCCCCGTCACCTAATTCCATTAACACAGTTGTCACACCCCATCTTAAAACTAATTAGTCTGCCTAGCCTTTTGATTGCTATGTGCTTTTCCCAGTCATCCCAGTAGCACTTGGAGTTAATCTCATTTGGGCACAGATTCTGTGCAGTGCTCCAAAGGATGAGAAGTGTGCAACAGTATTATGCACTGAGCGCCATACTTGCCTTTTATACAGGTAATAATACTTGTAAAGTATTTCTGTGTACCAGTATACCCATGGCTTATTCCTCTGCTATTTCCACTCTACAGTGTATGACTGTAGATCAGGAAACAACAAGAAAGTAATTATCACTTGATCTGCATCTCTGCCCTAATTTATTTACTCTGGAAACGGGTCTACTGGAGAAAGCAGTTTACAAGTGACTTGAAAGAAGCTGGGTAAAGCCTGAACTGAAAACAGCTGATCTGGAAATAAAGTCATCTTAGAAACCAATCAGAATGGGAATCAAAAGAACTCCCACAGAACATGGAAACAAAACCTCTTGTTATTGTGCAATATAATAGAGAAGTCCTACCTTTGCCCCAACCTACTTTTTAATGGGCTTGGCCATTCAGAAGACATGGTAGTTGCTAATTTTTTTGACAACTGGGAAAATTTGTTTCTGAATCATAATTAGCAGAAACAAAATACTTTCAAAATTAGCAAGCAGCTGTTGGAAAGTTTTTCTAAGGTGAACTCATAACACAAACACATTCACTGAGACAGAATTTGGTGACAGCTATATTGTATGCTCTGTTCAGGATATCTTACAGACTCAATATTTTTGAAAACCTTTATTATTTACAAATGATCAAGCAAATGCACATTAAAAACCACACACAATTAGTTCCTAATTGTTCCTAATCAGCCCTGTCATGTGAACACTTATCTTGTCACTGGCTGTACCATCCTACACTAAACTTGAAAATGCTTCTGTTGGTACAGGTACAGTCCTCATTCAAAGGGGGGAGGAGTTTGCAGAGCAACCACACTATGGGATGTGAAGGCACATGCAGCAGTACCAGGCAACTGTGAAGAGCTATCTATGCCATGAGATTCATACCTGTCCTGCCAAACTGCACCCACCAATACAACCAGATCTCACAAGCTCAACACAAAGAAACTAGTAAGGCCTACTCAGATGTGTGCATTATAAAATCATCTGCACAAGAAAATGTAAAGGGATGATTTTTTTAATATCTGTTGGCAAACAAGGCTTTAATCTGTCACGATGAACTTTTCCAAAGTGTAAACTAATAAAACTAATTTTAAACTTGATTAAATTTTGTAATCTAATTGAATACAAGATTCATTACTTCATAAAAAACATTCCCTGACTGCTGCTGCACTCAAACACTCTCTATCTATGCACATTCTAATATTCTGCAACACTTCAGCTACCACCTTTCAGGGCTTTTAAAATTTTATTTAAAGAGTGAAAATGGGTTTCTAAAGCTCATTTCTCCTAATTGACTCTTTTTATATACAGTCTTTCAAGAGAGAGACAGCCTTCCCTTTTCTCTAAAACCTCAGTAGTCATTCCTCAGCATATATTAAAGCAATAAAACTTTCCATCCAGCTCTAGTTTTTGCTCAGGAGAGAACAAACATGAAATACACGGACAGTGCTGCCTTTCCTTGTGAAGTGCACCTTCAACAACCAGCTCCCAGTTTTTAATGAATACAAAGTAGATACTAAAACATACTAAAACTATACTAAACATACCAAGACTAGCTGGAATTCTCTAGGAAGCCCCAATGACTGGCTTGAAAGCAAAGGGGGGGGAAAAGACTGTTCTGCTATCTTAACCACTTGCAGACTTAAACTTTTTTCATGACTTTTATACAGTACTGAATTTCTCATGACAAGAAATATACTGAGCAAAACAGACTTAAGATATGGAAATTTTATTCCAACGAAAAAAGAGTCTGTCATTTTCAACTGTGTGGTTATGTGCATTAACAGCTCTTTAATATTATCACTATGGTAATAAAGAACAGCAGCAAGTGCGGGATTAGAAAACAAATTGGACACCACTGCCTGCTGATCATGACTCATGATTAATGACTCATGCAAGGTATAATCTTTGAATTATTTTCTTTACAACCATCTCCTACAGTACTGGTCAGTGACCAATACAATTTTTTAATAAAATAAGATTATTTTAATAGTCCAGTCTGACTGAGCTAACCGCTCAAGAAAAGTATGATAGGAACAGCTAGAGCTCTCTCAGTCTAAAGGGATTTCTGCTGATATCTCACAAACAACATCCAGAATTTCAATCAGTGCGGAGCGCTCACAATCCACTGCATGACTGAGATTGATTATTTCTGTATTTTGCAAGAAAGCAGTGAAAGAAAGATGTTGCAGTAATATTTACGATGTTGTAGGACAAGCCAAGAGATATTATTAACACTGAAGTTCTCAGATTTTCTGTTTAGCATAATCACACCCATTTATACATACTTACAGAAATGGAGTCTTGGTCTAATTTTAAAAAGGCAACATGCTATACCCATTAGCCTCTGTAGCAAAGGTAGTTTATGCACAGTTCCTACAATGAAAAAAACCCCAACCTGACAGTATAGGAATAACAGTGGTCAATTAGCATCTTTCATGTTTTAAGTGCTACAGCTTTATACATCACTGGTGACAACTAAGAGAGAAGCCAACAGTATGGACATCAATAGTTGTTCATTCCACAGTTATTTTACCTCTTACATAAAACAACTGTTTAAATCCCATTTGACACTCAGGTGATTTTGTAACACCCTTGCCTGTGGGGTAGCAGGCTGTGGGTTAATATAAACACATCGAGTGCCAGCACTCCAGTACCAAGGACTGACACACATTATGCAAGAGCAGCACATGTATCTACAAGTGCAGTGTATCTACATGCAGACACTCACAGTCTCTGTATTTCTGCGCATGCAGATAATCAGAGGACTTCTGACAGCCTCTGGCAACTAAGTAAAATTCAGACCTTACAATGTTAATAGAACATAGTAATAATAGGGATAACACCAACATGAATGCTCCCTGAGTAGATTCTTTGGGAATCATTATGTCTTGAACAAGGGTATTTGTCCTTGCCATTACCACTACTCTGTTGCAACCCAAATGTCTCCTAACACATGATGTATTAAACACCAACCTCCAGCAATGCTGCCAGCTGCAATTATCACTGAACATTAAGATACCTGGCCAAAGTAAGAGGTAAGGGTTGTAGGTAGCAACTTGCTAGAAGAAAGGGTAGAAGAGCTAAGACAAACCAGAGAACTGAATCTTAGGAGCTGTATGCTCAAACAAGAAGCACTGCACTACACAGCAAGATAAATCAGCAAGTTAAAATACATGAGCAAGGAAAATTCCAGTTCAAAAATGGCGCCTGAATTATTGACACAACTCAGGGAAAAAGAAAACAGGGGAAAAAAAGATGCAGGGATGTGGTTTTCAATACATCAGAGAAATAAGCATGCCCTTTCATCTGGGGCAGGATGTGACAGGTGTGATGTGCAGATATAGGCACTGGGGAAAAAAAACCCCATCAACTGAATTTCTGGGTTTGGATGAAGGTATACTGAGATTAAGCATAACAGAAATAAAGGGTTTCAACAGACAAAGCCCACAAAATAAATCTCAGGGAGGAGAAAATATTCAAACGGTATTAAAAAAACAATTAGGCACTTTTGTGAGACTACCAAAGGCATCAAGGGCGCTTGGTCAAGAAGAAAACCTGACTTAATGAAGACCTTTGGTGGCTGCAATTTCAGCAACAAGCACAGAAGTGCAAAGACAGGGAAGAAAGCTTAGAAGAAGTGAACTGAGGATGATGATGAGATGACTCGCAATTCAACCCTGTGTAGGTGGCTTACCAGTCACCTTCAAAGGCATTCACCTGTCCTAGAGAGCAGTGGCCATGACTGGCAGATGCTTCCACAGGCTCCTGAAGTGGCAAATGAATGGAAAGCAAGTGGTGGCCCAGCATTGAGGGCTGGAACTGACCCTATAGCATGAAAGCAGATGAAAAGACAAAGTGATGGAGAAAACAAAGCATGAAAATAAAAGTTGAAAATGAGTGAAAATAACAACAACCGACTGTAACCCTGGGCAGTGGGCTGGTGGGTGATTATAGGGAATAAAAAAAAAAATAAAAAAAAAAAAAAAAAAAAAAAAAAAAAAAAAAGAAAATAAATGATGATGTTGGACAAAGAGAAGAGATACAAAAACAAAAGGAGGCCAGCTTGGTCTCCCAGTCGAGCCACAGACCCTGCCTACAGACACAAGAAAGTGCAGTAGGGAGGACTCACATGCAGGATTCCTCTGTTGCCAGTTGCTTGTCACCACCCCTCACCTGAAGGTTACAGAGATGTAACCTCCACCTACCTCATCCACTTATCCCTCTCTCTACTTTCCCTCCATGATGCGTGGGTTACGTTAACTTAAACACATTGTCCAACAGGTTCTCCCACTCTAATAATTACCAGATGAAGCAAGCTGAGGGCAGTCACTTCTCCAGCTGGCTTTCTCAAGGCTGGAAAGCAAGCGCAAGCAGATCATGAGCATGCTAAGGGATCAGCAGCAGAAAACCTACTGACAAAACATAATTTGCAAATACAGAAACTTAACAAAGCTGGGGAGCTGAAGAGATTCTGCCTCCCCAACTAGGGGATGGATCCCTCATGCCTTTCTCAAAATGTCATGGCTCTCAAACTTGCTGAACCCTGTTCAAATTTTTAGTGTAATATCTCTGGTACCTGCACTGTAGACAAATTAGATGGGATCAACAGTCCCTCCAGTTGATCAAGTTACTTTAAAAGCCTTATGACTCCTCTAAAAACAGGCTTTAAAAATAGCTGGTATTTTAAAGGACAATTTTTTAGTCTCTGTATTACTGTTGAGAGAACAAAAGATTTGGGCCTGCTACTTTCTAAATGTCAGCATTAGAAACAAAATTTATCCATCCAGAAGCTGAGAACAAGAAGTGAGAACATGTCCAAAGTAACTAATTGAAACAGCATCATATAATGTACATGGGAAATAAAAATTAACTGGGAGAAGAAAAACCTTTTAACACTGTAAGTGAAAAAAAAACCAAAACCTTTGTCCATAGTTTCAGTTTTAAGCTGGCTGACCATTTACTTTACATTTCTGCTTTTATCTTTTTTAAGTTTTAAGCTGGTTGACCATTTACTTTACATTTCTGCTTTTATCTTTTTTTTTTTTTTCTTGTTATTTTCATTGTTTTTCAGCAGCCCAATTCTGGGCATGGCAAACTATGGCTTTCCAAACTATGTGTTCTTTGTCTAGGTTTGTAATTTTTAATGATCCCTGCAGGCTAGAGTTTAGATGTGAATTGTCTTTCTATCCCTAAACAATTACATTCTCTTTTAATCACATTTTAATTATTTTGAAAAAATAGTAAGTAAATCACAAAGAAACATACTGAAGTCCACAGAAAAATAATGGCATTTAAGGATGCAAAACAGCTGACAAAGGAAGCCTTTCCATAAATACAGATGACACTACCTAAAAACATTTGAATTTGGTCCCATGGTGAGTAAAAGATTTTGAGTTTCATAGCAGAGGGCAAGAATCTGTTACCTTCTGCAAAAAGCACTCGGGACCTTTATTTTTTTAATGCTTTGATCCAAAGAGATTCTCTTCACACGTGCCATCAATGGAGCTTTTTAACAGTGACAGAAAACTCTTTTAAGTTCACTGTTCAGTAGGTGTGTTTTAGAGACCTTTAAGAAGAGCAGATGCACAACTTAACAGGAATGGAAACAACCACAACCAACTCATCATTTGCCTTTCAGTCATCAAATCTTGAACCACAAAACCATGAATTCAATTCTAGCTGTAACCACAAATACTGATGCCTTCCCAACGACTGCCTTAAAAAGTGTAACTTTTATAGTCAATAAGTATTCTGAATTCCACTTAATTCCCTGTTCTTTACTATTCTCTCCTTACCACCACTGCCCACAAATGCTCCTGCCGACAGCAACACTAAAAAAACCCATATACCACGATCTGAACCGGCCACGCAGCCACGACTCTCCTGTCCCCCTGTAACAGCAGTGGGAACTAGCAGCACCACACCAGGACTGCCTGTCACCGGCTTCCTTGGCTCCACACACGGAATCCCGGGAAGCAATGGCAACCTCCCTGCGCGGCATCACCGCGGGAAGATGTCAAGACTCAAGGGACCGAGGGGTGGAGGCTACTTCCCCAGGGGACATTTCTTGCTGCTAAGCTGCCATGCCAAAATCCCGAGCAGTGCGCTGTTGCACGTGGTCTGACCTTTTCTGACTCTTTTTTTTTTTTTTTTTTTTTTTTTTTTTTTTTACAAATTGACTTATGCTAAATCAACATCAAGGCTCAGTGCCGAGCAAGGCCGAAGTGGGCGGTGACCGGCTGTCCCCAAAGCGACAGCCGAGCTGTCAGAGCTAAGCGGAAGCACCGCCGGCCTCCCCACACCGATGAGGCCGGCCCCGTTCCCCGCAGAGGCCCCTGTTCCCCCCGAGGGCCGCGGGTGGCCGGGGCAGCGGAGCCCCGCGGCCGGGCACTGACCTGGCCCCGGCACTGACCGGCCCCGGCGCCGGCGGAGCAGCGGAGGCGGGCGGTGCTGCGAGGAAAGGGCCCCGCCGGGAACCGCTGCCGCGGCCTCCGGGCCGGGCCCGCAGCCGCCTGCCCGCGCTCCGGGCCCCGCAGTGTCGGGGCAGCCCGCGCCGAGCAAAGCGCATTAAAAGCCGACTGAGCACCCGGGAGCTGGGGGCTGACGTGGGGCCGGCAGGAGAGGTCTCATACTGCATCCATAGAGGCGTGACCCCAAGCACCGAGAGCTTTGCTTGAATTCAAGCAATTTTGAAGCAGACGATACTTGTCAGCTTCAAGGTTGCTAAGTACTACATAATCAGGTCGTCATTATTGTTGTTTTCTGCACCGATCGCCTCCATCTCTGAAAACCAAGCCCCGTATTTCTATCCAAGTCAGGGTAATTAAAGATCCTCGTTTCTCCGCTGGCTCAGGACAAGGTCTCGCCTCAGGTGAGGATACGAATCCCTGCCGGGAACATCCAGCCTGGCGCAGCGGGGCCCCACCGGCTGTGCCTGGGGGAGCGCAGCAGGCGGCAGAGATGTTAGCTCCCTGTCCACGTCGCCACAAGGAGAGACTTGGGCTCCCCATTTTCCCATCCATCTGTTTTACCTGTCAGCCTAAGTGGGAGCTCTTTTCACCTGTCCTGTTCCTGGCCGCTGTGCCTCTCCGGCTCCAGGTGCCGCTCACCTGTGCCCAGCTCTGGCTGCTGGGACAAAGTGCTGAGCAAGCCGCAAACTACCCTGGCATCAAACTTAATTGTGTAAACTTGAGGCTGGCATAAAATGGCACTGTCACACACAGCCCTGCCCTCGCTTTCGCCAGCAGCCAGATCAAGGGAAATAAATGGTTTCAATGAAGATCACTTAGTGCTTTGCAAATTCAAAACATTATGCAAATATGAGGCAGTCTTTCTGTGTCCTTGTTGAGACGTATACATAAGATGACTCAGTTTTAAGTATGTGTAGCATGGCTGAAATATGTATCTGGAAATACATCTTGTCCATCTTTATTAAAGCTGTTTTTCAACCCAACTGTCAATACAAATGTTCCAAAATTTGCCTTGTTCATTAAAAATTATGTTTGAATATGTAGAGGATTCCAATTATTCATTTATGTGGAGAAAACAAAAGCTTTTCACGCTGAACAGGTACTTTCAATTTTGTGTTGTTCAGAGAATCGAGAATATGACATGGTCCAGTCCTGGGCAGTGCTATTTTTATACAATAGAAGGATACCTGTCCTTTTTACAACACTCTCTGCAACAAGCAGGCTTGCCTCTTATTTTTCCTCTTGGGTTCACAAAGAATTTTTCCAGTAGGATTCAGCCCTGCAGTTGTGTCTGGAAAACCTCAGTAAAGATCTGTGTGAGTGAAGCTGCTCTCTCACCAGGTCCTGCTCCAAGGGCCTGTCCTCTTTGGGAGCGGAGCGATGCCCAGGCACGTCCCAGTTCGGTCGGAAGCAGAGGAAGGCGACGGCGGCTGGAAGCTCGTGGTTTTCCAGGTAACATATTGCCACCTAGCAGCGCTTGCTGGAAGTAGCACAAACCAGACCGGCAGATCCATAAACCAGTTTGCCTCATTTTTGGTTTTATTGCCTTGCGTCATACAGGACATAAGGAATGCTAGGATGCACTCAGAGTGAAGAATGAGCGCTGTAGGAAAGTGAAGAGGTGGATGGGATCATCTTCGAAAAGAGACAATAAAGACCAGACAGGCTGTAACTTTCAGCAGGATGGTGACTAGTCCCCTGGATGTTTGACTGGTCAATAAGAGAGAAAAAGAAAGAGAAAAAAAAAATGTACAATCCTGCAAGTTGCTTATTCTTGCACATAATTCCACTGATTTCAATAACACTTTCTCCTTGCATTGCTGAAGCAGTACTGACTGAGGAAAGTCAGGTCACCACCTGAATTATATAGAATGTACCCATTCCCTGTTGCCGACCCAGAAGCTGGCGACAATGTAGTGGCTAAAAGAGCAATACTTCACTCTCTGTTTCAAGGCTGCCAGACTGAAATATTGAATTCCAATAGATACAGAGCTCCCGGGTGCTATTTTTATGAACTCCTTTCAGAGAAATGGAACAGATAGATGACAGATCTGGGCTTAGATCTCAGGAATTATTGGACACTAACCAACATATAAACCCACAGTCAGTTCATAAAGGGTCCCTTGATGGTAATTTTTAGGAGGCAAATATCATCAGCTCTGTGTGGAAGTGTGGCAGGCTAAAGGATGGTGTAACATATACTCCAAAGAGTAGACCCACATAAAAAGGTGGACACATACATTCTATTCCTAAATTTCTGAAATATTTCTAAAATCTAGATTTCTGGGTCCAAAATCATGATATTCAGTTTCTCCTTACAGCCTCACCCTAGAGGCTCCCCAGTCCCATTGGCGCCTGACAGCTGTGATTCATGGGAAGAGACAATTTATATCAGGTTAGCTAACAAGACTACCACCCCAGCTGTCTCTCCCGTCCTCACTGCAGATATCTGAAATACCCCAGAGCTGCTGCAGTTTTCTAAATGCAGCCCCACGTGCCAAGTTACATTTGGTTTGACTTTGTTAGGCAGGGGCTGGCTGGGGACAGGGCAGTCACCATGAGTACCTCAGAACTGCAACTCTATCAGTACTTGTATGTCAGCCTATCCTCCACTTCATGCACCAAAGCTGCCAGTTTCTCACATAATATTCGGTCACTGGATGTGTCTGAAAATGGCTCAGCTCTTCCCAAGTAGCTCCGTACCCATCCTATCACAATGTGTTGATTTTATGTTCTCTGTCCATGTAGTTTAAGGATCTTCTCCTGCAGAGCTGACTCTGAGCTCCAGTAAGGCATGGCTGGAAGATGAGGTAAGGAAACACCTGCCTCTGTAGCACAGCATGGGAAGTGTCACTCAGGCCCTCTTCTGCCAAAGCAAACCGGCTCATTTCTCTGGGGAAGGTGCTCTGATCAGGAGGCTGTGGTGTATCATTGGGAAGTTGAGGGAAAGGACCCCTGGCCCACATGCCAAAAGCTGTTTCTCTTGACACAGCATAATGAAATATTCATCAGGCCAGAGAGCAGGAGAGAGGTTCAGCACAGCCACAGCTTGGTACACTTGCTCACACTCTCAGTGACCCCACAAATACTGGGAATTTAAACATTAATAGCTACTTAAGTTAGTGTATGAGTCTATGGCCTTGAAGGTCTTTTCCAACCTAAACCGTTCCATGTTTCCATGCCATATAAAGCAATTTGAACAGGTAGGGTAAAGTATGTTCTTGCTCTGCAAAATCATCTCTGGTTACAGCTCACTGTGGGAAGAGTGGCCTCAGACCAACCAAAAGGCCCATCAGGTCCCTGCCACATGCTCTCACCTTTCACTTCACCAGCACTGTCATTTGATTAGACACTAATTTTCTGATAGAAAATATATACAGTACAAAAACATGCTTGTTTGTGGTGTACCGTCCTACACAACATAAGATCTGATTTCACAAGACAAAATACCAGCCCACTTCCACTGGGAGGTGGTGGTCCCACGCTTCTCCCTTCTCAATCCTGGGAGTGAGAACCAGGGGAGAGCCAGCTGAGCTCACTGAACTGTCAGGAAATGGCTTTAGCACAGCAGTTAGTTTCTCTTTTGATTCCAGGGCTAAGGAACTGAACCAGCTTGGCTTGCTGCTGGTGGAGCCTGAGGGACACAAAGCAGGGGAAAGAAGATGAAGGAAACTCGAGGAGGAAGACCATCCTGTTTTAGCAGCATATCAAATGGGCTTAATTGTATTATTAGTTCTGACTCTTACAATGGCACTCAGGGCTTTGCCACTTTGGGGAGAGGAAGTGGGTTAGAAATAGATGGCCAGGGCAAAGCTGCAAGGTGCATGAGTGGGTACCCCTCTTTTTAGGGGGTAGCCAGCCACTGGGGTGGGCTAATTGTACTGGAAAACTCCACCCTAAATCTCTTCGAAGATCTGGCTTTCTTTCCTTCATTTCCTTAGGTCTCTGTTGCTACTCCATTCTGTAAAACTTTCAGAGAAAAAAAAAAAGCATATTTTCTCCAAGAGCATTTGAATCACACCAAAGTAGGCCAGGTGATAATTGCACACCACACTGTAGTGCTGCTTAAATGTCAGATGTTAATTAAAACCTTTCCTGGAAATGGGGCATTAATTAGGGCAAATGTAGCCATTCTTTATGGATACTGACTAAGCAGTGAGTAAAAGCATTATTTAAACACTGGTATTGAAACTGTTAATTTTTATTTGTCTGAGGTGTGTTTGTTATTGAAAGAAAAACAACTGAAAAAAATTATAACTCCTTGAACTTATTGTTCTTTCTTTTAAAGACAGTTTAAAATAAACATTTTGGCACAAGAATATTCACGCACACACAGATTGCAATAGGAACATTTCAGTATTAGGTCCAGATGTCTCTAGCAGTTGTATAACCTTGGTAGGAATGCTTAAATGCTGTAGATATTAAATACAGTTCTGACCTGCAAAAACAGCCTGTTGTGGCACTTCACTTGTGTCTTTCTGTTCTTGAGAAAATGGCACCATCTGCATGAATAATGGTACACCAAAATGTTTGCTAAGTCAGGGCCAAAAAGTAAGGCATGTGTTTCCTTTGAAACTTTTCTGAAAAACTCTGAATTTTTGGGGAGAATCATGATATTGATAAAGGATGTAAGTGTTCAAGATTTAAGATATATATCCAAGCTTTGCAGCTTAACCATCTTGCTTTTTGTTTCTTTGGCCTGGATTCAGCAAAGCAATTAAGCCCCTAAATAGCACCATTGATTTCAGTGACACATAAGCAGTTGGTTGAATTAGGCCCACTCTGCCTGCCAAACCACATTCCTTCTTGCCTTCCAGTGCATTAGAGCTTTTGAAAGAGCAGTTCCAGTTATTATCAGTAGCTGTAACCTAAAATCATGGTCTACCTTGGCACTTCTGTGCCTAGATACCTCTGCAGGAGGTCCACGTATGAGAAACTGTGCAGAGATCTGGCTGCAGATTTCAGTCTTTAGTATTGCTGCATTTCCACCAA